GAACCTCCTTCTGCTGCACCAGGTAAAAACCCTCAGCTCCACTGCAACAGTAACTCCGAAAATTTCGGGGACACTCCATCACCATAGTGTAGTTCAAAGGTTCACCCCCCTTATTCGGCCAGAAGTCGTCGATTAATAAGTCGACACTGCTACCTGGTTGGGATGGTGATTTCCGAGCGACGTAGCTGAGCGAGCAGCAGCCCGAACACCGCTAACCCATCTGCTCCAGTACTCCCGTCGTTCTTCTTCCACTGCTTTGACTCCTGGCAGTTAACGCATTCGGCAACAAGTGGAAAAACACTTAATACACACCCAGGGGTGGTGGCCTCCGTTTTCGTTGATCGTGGGGGTATGAATCGCTGGTCCACGAAAAATGCCTCCCCGTGCGGGAAGTCGCCCTCGTTGAGTACACTCACTCTAGCACATCGTCATCACCTCCAGATGGTTGTTGTGGTGAATAGCGCTGAGGTCGTTAATCCCAGCTGCTCCCACACAACTCAACACCCACACGTCCTCGTGCGATCGTGTCGTTCTGAAATTGTCGGATTCGCCCATCGTCGAAATAGTCTTGAAGTCCCGTCCATCGCCTGCAACTAGCCTGTCGGAAACGCCGGGATCCGCGATACAGCTACAGTTCACCATGCAGCTTCATCGCACACCAGACGTACCGTAATCCTCCGGATAAAACACCCGCCGAAATTAAGCACCCACTGGTGTTATATCCGGGGAGGGTGTTCTATTGAAGAATCCGCAATTATATATCCTCGTTTTGAGGGTTCCAGTAGAGCACCCCCCTTACCATTTTAGCCCTTCTAAGCCTTGCAACTCTTGGAACAAATACTGTTTTTTCGTGCGATTTCATGGTGAGCACGACCATTACGTAAAAGTTCAACTTTACCGAGGCGCGTGGCGGGGTGCTTCAGTACTGAAAATGATGGGGTGAAACAAAAAATTGCCTGGAACTGCGCAGTGGGCCGACAAATTTCGTTTCATTTGTGCGAGAGACTTGTTCTGACTGGTTGACAAGCCTCGCGATTTTCGCCTAGCCTATTGCGAGAACCGCCAACACCCGAATCTCGCTTCTCCAACCTGACACACCCCTGATATTTGGGAGCAAGTGGGTGATTTGGGGGTATTCCGGACCTCGAGAAAACGTACGCCTTTTCAGCTGGAACTTGGATGGCTGAAATTGCCATGAAACACTGATTCCAATGCACATCTAAAAAATTCCGTCCTCAAATATAACACCAGGGTGCTATAGCCTAAACGCGAAATAGAGCACCCACCCCCCCTGATTTTGCATGAATTTTGTACTATACACGGGGTGTTACATCCGGGGGATTACGGTACATCGCCATACATCCCGCCATTTTCGCCACCCCGCACGCTCCTGACGACCAGCTTCCGACCGCCTGAGGACTCCCTGCACTTGTGTTCTCATGACGAAGTCTTCGCTTTTTTCGGAAGCCAATCCGAAGACTCCGCCTGAACACCCAAAATTTACAAAAGCTCTAACGAACATACCCGAAAAACACGGCGAAAACGTCGCCCACTCTTCGACGGGAAATAATTTCGTCTACGCCCGGGGAAGGGGAGGACCGGCTAATCCCAGCCGTCCATCGGACAGGATCAGACGGCATCGGCAACGCCCCCGTCATTAATCTGTGCGACATGCGCTCGCCATCAGCATCCTTCCGCCCGCTTCCCTGATAGGGTCTGCTCCCCTATCGAAAACCTAATGGGCAGGAACCAGGCCGCAAATTAGCCGGGTGAAATGCCCTGATTGCCCTGATTTTTCCGGGTGTTTTTCGACTTGGTCCTAAAAATCAGACTCACAAATATTTTTAGGCTGATCCAAAAAGTGTAGCGAAATTTTAACCCTGACGAAAACAGAGTTGCGGGACCTGGCACTCTGAGTCTTCAGGATGTCCTTGAAACTACCCTGATACAGAAACTCAAATTCCGGCTAGGTCCCCCACAAACAGAGACATCCCTCCCACCCACCCTGCAAGTAAGATTTTTCGGCTAAGTCCCTCGCGCCCAGAGACAAACCGCCCACACAATTGGAACACTGAAATTTCGGCTAAGTCCCCAAAGACATCCCTCCAACACCCCCCGCAACATATCTCAAATGGCGAAGTCCCCAACAAGAGACACTCTCCCCACACCCCACGTAACCCTTTTTTTTTGCGAAGTCCTCGACACAACAATCAGACACATGGCCACCACAGTGTGGTGACCACACCCAATCACGAGCATGTAAAATTTTCCCCGCCCTGTTCCCGCCCCTGCAAATTCGATGTCCCTCCCGCACCCAATCACATGTTGCTGATTTTCTTCCCGCTATGCTCCCGCCCCTGCAAATTCGATTCCCCCATACCCATTACGCTTTCCCCCCCCCCCCCCCCCCCTTCCCCAACCCACGCACGCGCAAATTCGCTGCGTGCTTGTTTCACGTTTCACCTGCATTTCGCGTGCCATTCTTTCGTGAAGCACCGTATTGTACCGCATTCCACTTCGAACTCAAAATTGAACTTGCTAAGAATGCCAAGAGTTAGACAGGGTGGCAAAAAATCTACACTTTCAGCTAAGAGTTCAATTTTTTTTACCCTGCCAAATCAGACTTCAGAAAACTTTTACTCTAGACGTCAGGGTGAAATTTTTTTGTACTCTGATTCCTAAGAGTGGCCTAAAACCAATTTTGGGCCCTGGCAGGAACGTAGCTCTGATACCAGCCAGGGCTGACGTTTTAAAAAAGGCACTCTGAGCCAACCCCCTCAAGGGTCCAGCGAGTAAACCAATATTTAAAAAAGCAGAGACCGAAATTTGCGGATCTTTGGAGGGTACTGACGACGATGCCTTGGTACGAGAATGATTCTTGACCCTAGACATGGAGAGACGAAACAACTATTTTCTAGTAGTCGTCCCTTTTAGGGAAATTCTCGTCAACTGCCCGTTCGGCCAACTGAAAGTCTATTGAAATTCAACGGCCTCGATCGATTGTGATCGTTTCGAGATGTTTCCACCATTTGATTGTCGCTAATGATTGACGTCTAAGATCTCCCAACTGGGGCGCTGCAAAGGCGTGAATTTTCTCCCACCGCTCTATTCGCCCAGCTTGCCCCCTCTCCCCAGCAGGCCTGTCGTTATCAGGGTATTTTACCCTGATTCCCTGATTTCACAGGGTATTTTTTTTGCCAACCCTTAATTTTCAGGGTTGGGCTTTTTTGAACCCTAACCTCTTCAGGGTTGTATGTCTGTGAACACTGAGAATTTCAGGGTTTGCGTTATCCCAACACTGAGTTTTCAGGGAGTAACGCGTACAAACCCTGAGTGCGACATCCATGTAGCTCACAATGCGGAAATTTAGGCGAAGTCCCCAATCTCCAGAGACATTCCCCCCCACACGCAACAACCTACAAAAATTGGTGAAGTCCTCAAACATTCCCTCACACACCAAGCAACCCACAAAAATCGGCTAAGTCATGTGTCGTACAGACATCCCCCCTACACACTAACAACAACCCACAAAAATTAGCTAAGTCTATGAAAATGTAACAGTCAAGATCGATTGCGATCGTTTCGACATACTTAAACCGTTAGATGGTCACATTGATCAACGTCCAAGATCTCCCAGCCGGGGCGCTGCTAGGGCGCGAATTTTCTCCGACCGCCCTATTACCCAGCTTCCCCCCTCCAATCCACTTCGATTCCTCCCTCCCCTCCATTTTCGCTCCCCCACTCCTCCTCCGTTTCGTTTCCCCCCTCCCCTCCATTTCGATTCCCCCATCTCCCCTCCGTTTCGCCCCTCACATCTTGGTTTTGATTCCCTCCCCCTTTCTTCCTTGGTTTCGACTCCCCCTCCCCTCCGTTTCGATCCCCCCTTCCCCTCCGTTTCGATCCCCCCTTCCCCTCCGTTTCGATCCCCCCTTCCCCTCCGTTTCGATCCCCCCTTCCCCTCCGTTTCGATCCCCCTTCCCCTCCGTTTCGATCCCCCCTTCCCCTCCGTTTCGCTTCTCCCATTCCTCGACTGTATTTCGAACTTCCCCCACCCCCCAACCCCCACTTTTTCCCTCCCCGTTTCGCTTCCTCTCTTCCCCTATGTTTCCATCCTCCCCCTTCCCCTCCGTTTCGCTCTCCCCCTCCCCTCGGTTTGATTCCCTCCCCTTTTTCCCCCCATTTTTTATTCCCCCCTCGTGTTGAAGGCAACCCTGAACGCGCTCGGTGAACCCTGGGATTTTCAGGGTTCCATATTTCTTTTATTCGACAGCTCAGGGGGGGGGTTTTTTGAAACGTCAGGCCTGCTCCCCAGTTTCAATCCCCCCCTCCCCCTCCATTTTCGATCCCCCACGTCTTCCTCTGTTTCGCTTCCCCCCTTCCGTCCGTTTCGATCTCTCCCCTTCCCCTCCATTTCGCTTCCCCCCTCCCCTCAGGGAAGGCTTGTCTACGTGCCCAGCTCACCCTCATATCTGTTATACATCTGTTTATGACTTAGCCAAAAGTATGGGTTGTTTCGGGTCGGGGTGTTAGGGAGAATGTGCCTGATAACCCCGCTTAGCCGAGATTTTCGATGTGTTGTGGGGTGTGAGGGGGATGTCTCTAGAATTCGGGGACTTCGCCAAAATCTTCTATGGGTTGTGGGGTGTGTGGGGGGTGTCTCTAACGTTTGGGGACTTGGCCGAAATTTTCTGGGTCACATGCTGGTTTAGGTACAAGTGTTTCAGTGTCTGTACGCGCTGTTGTAAGGAATTACGATTCCTTACTGGGGCTCGCCACAGCGAGTATTCGCGAACCTCTCGGTTCCGCAGGCTCGGCCCTCAAGTCACGCGCCAAACCAGGCCCCCACGACCTTTTCGGCCCCAACCTGATCCCGACTCGCCCCGAACCCATTTTGACCCCGTCACCCTCGGGACTGACGAGCCCTTGACTGGTCCAACCCTCGACGTTCAACCCTGGTCAATCGCCCTATATATTGCCTAGGCCTCATTTCTATCGTCATTCTGTAATCAAGTCCCCCTATAGCATTCTGCGCTATACTCTGAGTTATAATTCATACCCTATGGCTTCCGGCGTAACGACCTCCTCCGAGTCCGCCCGGATCGCACGGGGAGTGGAGCGACAGCCGTACGCTAGCGCCGATGCGACTCTGCGATCGCTGGCGGGAGCTGCGGAAGGGTTTGGATCGCAGTCGATCGGAGGGAGGGATGGCGAAGTCTACACCGTTACCTCGTTAGCAGGTAACATTTGAGTACGCTGGCGAAAGTCTTAGTTCGGAGCGCAGTCGGTAGAAGGAGGGATGGCGAAATTGTCACCGTTACCCCTTTAGCAGGTGGAATCTAAGGACGGTGGAATCTAAGGACGGTGGCGAAAGTCTCGCTTAGTGGGCTCCAAATCAGTAATGGTAGCTGGCGAAAAATCGCATCGCAGTCAACTGGGGGAAAGGATGGCGAATTTTACCCCATCCGAGCCGTCAGAAACCGTCTGAAACTGTCCGATTTCACGCCGCCACTCTGCGTGCTAAGGTAGGCGGCTCTAGGTGTGCGCTTTTGAGTCGACTCTAAAATAAGTTTCCGCTTTCTACCTCATCCTGTACGCAGCGGCTCTCATGAAACGCAGTGCGAAGGTAGACAGCTCTAGGTTCGCACTTATCTAAGATGGGATCCTACGCGGCTGTTGGTCTCAAAATTGCCCTTCGTCGAGCCCCTTAGTATCGTTAGGGAAAGCAGGCTAGGTAATGGATAAGGACAAATGCTAAATTTCCTTCTTGATCTAAAGCTTGTTTCAGAGCGTAGAGGATTCACACAACGCAATTCCGCCGACGGTGGTTGTGGCAAGTTGGAGAAGAGCCAGCAGGCGAGTTTCGCAACGACTTGACAAACACGTTAAATTGGCCACTCTTCCCCCTCCCCCCCCTCCTCTTTCCTGATCTTTCCTACCGACAGTGGCCCTTGAGGGACACGTGCAAGCACCAGGCAGCAAGACGGGTCGTCTTTGCTGTCGCTGGCACCAGCTCCCCTTTTCCTCCCCCCGTCCTTACTTGCTTATCTTGCCCTTCCCTACCAGACGGTGGCCCTAACTCGCTGAGGGACACGTGCAAGCACCAGGCAGCAAGATGGATTGTTGCTGCTGTTTCCGGCACCATTGGCCTTATCCTTCTCGCATCGTTGCTTGCTTCGCTTGCACTTCCCTCCCAGACAGCGGCTCTCGGACTCTAAGGGACGCCTGCAAGCACAAGGCAGCCACGTGGGTCGTCGGTGCTGTCTCTGGCGCTATTCGCCTCTGTTCCCCTATCCGAGTCCCACCCTGCTGGCTTATATTCCTCCCCGTCCCTCCCAGACTTTGGCCCTGGGTCGCCTGCAAGCACAAGGCTGCCAGGTGGGTAGTCGTTGCAATCTCGGGCTCTATCTTCCTCGCCTCGCCCATCCGAGTGCCCGCCCTGCTTGGGTTGTTCCTCCCCGTCCCTCCCAGACTGTGGCCCTGGAACTCTACGGGACGCCTGCAAGCACAAGGCGGCCAGGTGGATCGTCTTTGCTGTCTCGGGCACTGTCTGCCTCGCATCACCCATCCGAGTGCCGTCCTTCACCACCGTTGACGGCCGAGGACAGAGGGTGAGACACTAGTGGGTGAGACACTAGTGGGTGAGACACTAGTGGGTGAGATACTAGTGGGTGAGATACTCGTGGGTGAGATACTAGTGGGTGAGACACTAGTGGGTGAGACACTAGTGGGTGAGATACTAGTGGGTGAGATACTAGTGGGTGAGATACTAGTGGGTGAGATACTAGAGGATGAGAACTAGCTTCCTCCTCTTCCCCCCTTTTTCCTCCCCCCACCCCCCCCAGCATCTCATTGCCCCTCGCCTCGCCCATCCGAGATCCCTCCGTCACCACCACTCGTGGCGGAGATGACTTTTGAGTCGACTCAAAAGTCGCCTCGCCCATCCGAGATCCCTCCGTCACCACCACTCGTGGCGGAGATGACTTTTGAGTCGACTCAAAAGTCGCCTCGCCCATCCGAGATCCCTCCGTCACCACCACTCATGGCGGAGATGACTTTTGAGTCGACTCAAAAGTCGCCTCGCCCATCCGAGATCCCTCCGTCACCACCACTCGTGGCGGAGGGCAAAACGTGAGCTTCCTTTCTTGGTCAGGGGGCCAGAAGTTGTGTCTTTCTCTTCTTTCTTTCTTCCAGGCAGCGGCGGTGTTGAAACCTGATCGTCTTGCAATCTTGCCCACACACCACCAACTCCATTCCCTCCCCCTTCTCCCTCAACCCCCCCCCCCAAACCCCACTCACCCAAACTTCCCTTGTCCGATCCTGTCCGAGATGATCTTTTAGAATTCTCAAATGTCACCACCTTCTCCATCCCCCCCCCTCCCCCCTCCCTCTCTCCCACCCAAACTTTCCGTGTCCAATCCTGTCCGGCCTTGTCGTGTCCTGCCTTCCTCCTGCAGGTGGTTCTACAGGGTGCAGGTCTTCAGCTGCGGGGCTCGCAGCACGTGATCCTCTGTTGTTTTCTCCTGGAAGGTGGCCGGGGCCACGATGCAGATGCCATCCAAATGAAACCCCAGGTGGCTCATGTGTGGGTGGACCGATGCACGCTGTCGGATTTTGATGATGGGCTTATTGATATCACGAGAGGGTCAACGGATGTGACTATATCGAGGTGAGGGGTGTAGGCTCTGTTGTTACGGCTGACCTCAGCCTGACAATCGAAGCTACAGTGTGCCCATGTGTTGGTGGCTAGATGCACCCTCTCGGATTTTGATGATGGGCTTATTGACACCACACAAGGATTAACGGAGGTGACTGTATCGAGGTGAGGGGTGTAGGTTCTCCTGTTACAGCTGTATCCAGTGTGAGAGAAGAAGCTACATTGTGCCTGTGTGTGGGTGGTGGATCGATGCACGCTGCCGGCTTTTGACGATGGGCTTATTGATATCACAAGTGGGACAACAGACGTGACTGTATAGAGGACATAGCTTTAAGTTTTGCAGCTTTGACTGAAGTGAGTGAGAGTGACAGGGGACGCTACAGGGGAGAACATATGCCGTTTCTCTTATTTTGATGACGGGCTGATTGAAATCAAGAGAGGATCAACGTTTGTGACTATAGCGAGGTGCGTGAGAGATAAAAGCCCAGGCTGCCCAAAATTGATTTCCATCCAGTGTGTTGACTTCATTGACTCACGTTGACTCCTGTTGACTCCTGTTGACTTCCACATGCTCCCCCCTCCTCTCTTCCTGCACTCTTCCCCCTTCGCGCCTCCCCCTCCAGATGTCACTTCTTCAAGCATGACAAGACGATGCTGATAGGAGCGGATCCGAAGCACACGGAGGATCGGAACATCCGAGCTACAGTCCACCACTGCTTCTTCGATGGCACGAGGCAGAGGCAACCGCGGGTTAGGTTCGGCAAAGTGCATCTCTACAATGTGAGCATTGGGGGTTGCTTGTGGGTCTGTGTGTGGATTGCACTGCACGTGAATTTACAGGATTACATTTGGATTCACAGGATTTCACCCTCTTGTCCAAGCGGCACCTTCCTCCTCAATCAATCCCTCTCTCCTTCCCCGTCCGTTCTCTATTCTGACCCGGAGTGCAGAATTTCACTCGCTATTGGGGGGTCTATGCTGTGTGCGCAAGTGTCGAGGCACAGGTGAGGATTGGTGTTGCTGTTGCTGTTGCTGTTGCTGTTGCTGTTGGTGTTGGTGTCAAGAAGGGCGAGGAAGGAACAATGAGCAAGGAGGTATCTGAAAGTGGGAGTTCGAGTGTGTCAATTTGGCAGCACCCAAAATCACTCTGCCTCCCCTCCCCTTTCTCCCTCTCTAGGGCCCCCCACGGTTTTCAACATATGTGCGCTGCTGATGTCAATTTGTGGTCTACCCCTGCATGACATCTATTACAGGTCCTATCACAGCATTGTATATACGAAGCAGGAAAGAAGAAGAAGACATTCGAGTACTACTACGAGCAGGTGAGTTGTCTTTATGGGGAATAATGCAAAAGATGGAGTGTTTTGAACTGGATGCTTTTATTCCCTTCTTAACTCTCCAGGCACCCGGCAGGCCAGCCGCTGCATCTGGCCGTGGGGTCGAGTTTGAGGCGAGCACGGCAGGTTAATGAAGTTCACTCAAGAGATGTATGCTTCTCAACATCCCTTCCTTAACCCCCTCGTCCTCCCTCCAGGCACCTGACAGAGTAGCCCCTGCATCTGTGTTCTTGCGCTGTGAAGGGCACTCATTTCTCAATGGGGAGCAGCAGCTGATGAAGCCAGCCTATGGAGTGCACTTCTCAACATGCCTTCTTCCCCCGCCATATTCTCTCTCCAGGCACATGACCGGCCAACTCCTGCCTCTGGGAGCCTGCGATCTGAAGGGGACTCGTTTCTCAATCGGGATCAGCAGGTTGTAGAGTTGACTCTAGGTCGCCCTCTTTTCAAGCACGCCCTCGTTTTCGCCCCAAAGGGAATTTGTTTCCAAATGGGGCTTAGGTGATAGACTTTACTCAAAACATGATTTTTTTTCAACACGACATATTTTCAAACCCCATGTCATCTCTCCTGGCACCTGACCGACCAGCCCCCGCATCAGGTAGCCTGCAGTCTGAAGGAGCCTCGTCTCTGAATGGGGCAGAGGTTATAGAGTTGACTGAGACGTGTGTCATCTCTCGCCCCTATCCTCCCTCCAGGCACCTGACAGGCCCGCCCCTGCATCAGGCAGCGTGAGGTCCGAAGGGGATTCGTGTTTTAGTGTGACAAGGGTGATACAGTTGTCTCCAACATGTTCTCGTTTCAAACTTGCCGTATTCTCCCCCCATTCCTCCCTCCAGGCGCCTGACAGGCCAGCCCCTGCCGCAGGAAGCCTGCGCTCTGAAGGGGATACGTTTCCTAGTGGGGCAGAGGGCAAGGAGCAGGAGAGGGAGGGGGTGTTTGACCCTGGACATGTGTACAGCTGTGATTGGTCGCTGTGGAGGCAGTGCAGCTGCGAGGTCGTTGTGGCGTGTGCTGGCTGGCAAGACGTGCCTCTGCCAGCGGATAATGCTACATGACTTGAGTTGACTTTTGTCTACTTGGTACGTGTGGAGGCAATGCAGCCGTGAGGCTGGCATGGCGTGTGCAGGCTAGCAGGATGTGCCCCTGCCAGCAGATGGGTAAAGAAAGTGTTGGCTAGCTGCAATACAGTGGGCCTCCATGAGCCCTTGACGCGTTGTATATATTCACTCTTAGGGCGGATTCCTACAAAGTGGGATCCACTTTCGCGCACTGCCGAACGGAACTCACTGATTGCACATTTTCTACAAATGCACTGCACTGTACCACGCGTGCTGGATCCAACTTCGCTGGATCCAACTTCGCTGGATCCAACTTGGTAGGAATCTGTCCTTATCTGTTGTTTGTATAACAAAAACTGTCATATTATGGTTGCCACATTGAGGTACAGGGGAGCTGCTTATCCCAAACAACTGAAACTCAGCAACCCAGCAATAACAGTTGCCAGCAATAGGTTATGGCAGCCTACCAGTAGAAGCTAGTAAGTATACTTCAACAGTAAGGAGTCTGGAGTGGAGCCTTAAGCTGGTCCCCTTCGGCTGGTCAGTATCAAACCATGGATGAGTAGTATGGACATAGCCCATTGGGACTAAAAGCAAGGCATGGCCATCTTTACGGCCTGCTCCTGTATAGAGACGGTGTGGGCAGCAAAGCGTTGTGGCTGTAGCCACCCTTTCACTCTGATTGGCCTTCTGTAGACTTCAAGTAGAGGTCAAGAATTTCGCCCAGACAGGTAATCACACCCCCCTCTGCTGCTCCGCTTAGCGCCTTCTCTTCCGCACTTGCCAGCATGTCTTCTAACGAGGACGGGACGTCGGGATCATCGCGAACCATCATGGAGCCAATCTCGAAAACGGTTCGACCCGCAGCCACCCCTTTTTTCAGCAGACGCGTAGATGCGCGAATGACGCGTGCGCATGCTTCGTTGACGGCCCACCCAGCCGCTTCTAAAAGCGCCAGGTCAGCTTCGGCGTCGAGTTTCGCGACGTAATCCCGAGCTTCCTCGCTTAGCGGCTGCTTCGCTTGAGGCCAGTAGAGCCACTCGAATGTACATTCTTCCAGCGATTCCGGAAGACAGTATCCGTGGTCGATCGGAACCAGCTTCAAATCCGAGCCGTTGCTTTTCACCAGAATGTTGGCTCCGTTTCTATCCGTGTTCGCCAGCCGCATATCTAGGGTCGCAATTTTGTGAACCTCCGAAGCAGCGAACCGAGACGGGCCCATATCCTCGCAGTTGCTTATAGCGGGGACGAATTGCTGCAGCGATCCAACCTTTCGTGAATTGAACTCAGCAGTAGCCAGGCCGCCCAAGATCGAAACCGGAGATCCCAATGAAGTGGGGAAGAATTTCGAATCGCAGGTAACCAATGCGGTTCGCGGCACTCCTGCGAAACCCTCTGCATCGCCTTCGCGAAGAGGGTGGTCCAGAATGTATGCCGCAACTTCGCGAAACGCGCCTTCGCCAACGCGAGTTCCACGCTTCAATCCTTCGCCCGTTTCGCTCGGCGACATCCCGCGAGGGCAGTTCCAAGCTAGTGGCTCCTCATCCATGGGCTTAAAAACCGCAATGCGTGACTCGCCGATCGCATCGCGAAGCATATAAGTACCGCCAGAACCATCAGGGGTTAGCTCAGGAACCTGACCAGCCACTAATCCCGCGCTGACGTCAGCTAAGGCTCTTTGTACAGCTGCGCTTTCCGCAGGACTACTACACCCAAAACCAGTTGACTCGACGACTGAGAATCCGGCTGCGTTTTCTAAGAGTGTGGTGTCAGTACTAGTTCTTGTTGCAAGCCGGTGGCACGAGTGAAGCCGTTGCTCGAACGAGCTAAGGTCATCTGAGCCAGCGTTTTTCCGCGGGAGGCATGGCTGGGTGATTGGCTGCATGCTGGTCAACGACGGAGACATGGACTGGAAAATGACCGCCATCCTGGTTTCTGAGTTTAGGCTGTGCGATAAAAATTAATGAGAGAAATGAAGTGAAGGGAGAATGAGGAGCGAGAATGGTAGATCGACTTCAGCGTTACACACGGTAAGACAGCTATGGGGATACTGAGTGGTATAGACTGACTGGTCTTATAGTGTGGCGGAAGTAGGGGTGTGTGAAGAGGGCGTGAGTTGTGGTGTGGACCTGTGGAGACTAGGTGGGGCAGCACCAGCAGCAGCAGCAGCAGCAGCAGAGCCGAGCATTCAGGCGAGAGGAGAGGAGAACAGCTGAGTGGAAGGAACCTCCCTGAATGGTAAAGTTTACTGTTCATGAGCCAGCTACGATTCATTCGAAAAGCTGGAACTGCGAACCTGGAAGCGTGTCGTCGTCAACTGCTTGGCTGACTGGCAGAACCCTTGATGCAATAATCAACCGCGTGGCTCACGATCAACGTGATTGGTCGCATACGTCGTACACAGTCACTCACGTGCGATTCATACGTCGGATTGCATCATTAACACGTGAAGGTCGCAGAAACATGAAATTCGCGCAGATCGCACAGGTCGCAGAGTTCGCAGAAGCTAACGTTTGCCTTCGAAGAAGCTCCTGCGAATCTGTTTGCCTGCATAACGAGTATGCCTCAACCCCCACTACAATCTGCAACTACACATACCATTTAGACAAAAAACAAACACAAAGCTAAATACTCGGCTTGCAACATGTAGAATGCCTGAAATTTAGATATTGTTTCTAAACTTCCAATTTCCTTTTAACCACGATAAATTAAAATTATAAACGGTTTCTCACATCCCATATTATTAGTATTGGTAGTGGGAAGACATGGTGGATCAAACACTTCTATTGGAAGCATAAGCTATTCAAAACCTTGGTAATGGGGTGTAGGAGACAATAGATGAAGAGGTTTTGTATCCAACACGTGCACTTGAGTGTTCTTGTGGGTGCTCCCGCCGACACACCGTCTCTGATCAGGCAGTTTCGAAAATGGGCGGGAGGTCCTCAAAGTCACCGCCGTCTGACACGCGGTTCCAGCTGTGGCCGTTTCCCCCTCGCTGGCGAGACTATCAAACCAAGCCAAACCCAACCACGCTGTGTGCTTCAGCCAGGAATTTTGGAAAACCAAACTTCTGGCTTGTTCCAAGCCGCCGTGTCCCTCAGACCAAACCTCCCTAACCAGATCCGAGCCAGGTCCAAACTGGGGAGCAAGCTGGCTTTGTTCGCCAAGCCAGCGATGACAACCCCAAGGGTGGTTCCCCGCCATGACAAGGGGAACTCCCACAACCAGCGCGGCTCGGTCCCTGTCTGAAGCATTCTGGTTTCGAGGGAAGTCTTAGAGCAGAGAAATCTCGTCATTTGTTCTCATATCAGCTACAGGAGCAGGGGAGTAGTTTCCAAGGAACTGAAAGCATTTCAGACAAGACAGACGCCATAGTTTCCAGGTTTGTGCATCGTAGCGAAGAGCTTTACCCAGGTCGAATATCATGACGTTGTTCTGTTCGTAACTTGCGAATATGGCATTCCCAGCGTCATCCTTGCTGAGGCTTTCTGCTAGCCTAAGCGATCAGCAGCAATGCCGAACTCCACCTTCCAGTCAGGGAAATCGCCAGTAGTGAAACCACGACCTTTCTTTCCTCTTTCAGTCCTCTGAAAGACTCACGCGGAGGTGTAGCAAGCCCTAGGAAGGGGATCCTCACCGCTGGTCGAAACGCACGGGAGGAAATGAAGAGCGGATCGGAGAAGGAGAACAGCAACGGCGGAGAAAACCGTGAGTGGAACAGAAACGCGTCAGCCGTATCAGCGGCATCAGCGGCATCAGCGGCATCAGCGGCTATGGATGATCCATTCAGCCGGAGTTCTGCTTCCAAGTATGGAAACGGCGGAAGAACGAAGGAGACGAACGAGAATCGAAGAAACTGCGTGAGCGACGGCGGGGACGGCTACGGGGAGAACGGACCGAATCGGACTGAAAACTTTCGCGTTGGAGAAGGAAGCGGTGGAGCGAGAGAGGAAGGAGGGGTGCTCCTGGAGCTGAACGGATCAGCGTACGCTCAGCCTCGGCAGGAAACCCTGCAGGAAACTCTAGGGATTACCGGAGTAAGGATCAAAGTCGGGGTTGATCCTTGTACCAGACGCAACGTGGATCAGTCCGCCTTAGACTCCAAGGTCGACGCAGAAAGAGCGAACCAGCAGATGCAGTCTCTGCAGCCGACGGGTGGTAGTGTAACGGGTACGTGTGTCGGCGACGTGGAGGAAACCGTCGCAGAAGTCGCACGAGTCGTCGCAGGCGACGGTGACGGCATCGCCGAGATCCCGGCGACGCCACAGCCGCACAGGCCGGCAAATCTGACCCCGCTGATCCTATACGAAGACTCGCCGTCGCTTGCCTTCAGCATCTCCCCATCTCCTTCCCTCTCCCCTTCCCCTTCCTCCTCCCCTATGCCTCCGCTTCCCCCTTTAGCACCTCCTCCCCCTCTCGACACATTAGTTCCTACAAGTCCCGGAGATCCCTCGCAACTTAAAGCTCTCCCTCTGAACCGGACCGCGTCCTCGACGTTACCCCCAGATCCCGCTCCGGCCGGTCTTCAGCCGCCGCATCCGCCGCCGGAAAGCCCGCAGCCAATGACGGCTTCCCGTGACGATTTTCCTGGCGACGCGAACGCAGCATCCTGCGAAGCTTCTCAAGTGGCTCCCCCGGAAAATCATCAGGTGCCTTGTCAGGTGCCTTTTCAGGAGCCCTCGCACGCGCTCATCAGCAGTCACGTGACACCATCTCTCCCCGCCCCTCAGATTATCAGCGGCCCGGCAGACAAGCCCCATGAACGCGCGGACCCCGCGAATCTCGCGGGCACCGCAAATCCCGCTGCCTCCGCACCTGCGAATCCAGCGGCGAATTCCGCAGCGAATGCGTATCCAGCGGAGAATCCAGCGGAGAATGCCGCAGCACCTGCGAATGCAAACTCAGCGGCGAATCCAGCGCGCCCACGACTCGTGCGTTCCGCCTCCTCCGACTCCTTCCGCCTACCCGCCCCACTCGCCGAGGGGCCTCAAAAGCCGTCCCGTGCTACCCCCGGCACCCCCTCGGGTTCCAGCGCCGCTTCGCGCCTCTCGCCAGGCCTCGGCTTTAGGTTCTTCTCCAGAGGCCATGCCAACGCCTCTCCCTTGCGTTTCCGCAGCCGCAACACCAGCGGCGGCGGCGGCGGCGGCGGTGACGTGAAATTCACTGTTGCAGGGGGTGACTATGGCGGGATCGGTGGCGAGAGGAACGGGCTGGAGTCTAAGTGGGAGGTCCCACAGGGACGATCGTCTCCTTGGTCGCGGGGGTTGAGCAGGGTTCGCGGAATGGTGTCTCCAAGGTGGAATAGAAGGCACGATGGTGCTGGTGCTGGTGCTGGTGCTGGTGCTGGTGGTGGCGAGAGTCGTGCGGCGGAGCAGATGGATCGCAACGGCACTGCTGCTTCTGCTGCTCCTGTGCCTGCGCCTGCTGCTGGTGCTGGTGCTGCTGGTGCTGCTCCTCCTGCTGCAGCGCATGCCGAACCTCACCGCCGAGGCTTGGGCTCGCCAAGGCTCCGGTCGTGGCTCGGGTCGCCTGAACTGCCAATGCTCCCGCTGCGGCGCGGCCTTGGCGTGAGGTGGCACCGAACCTGCTCTGCTTCGGTAGCTACGTCTGTCACTACTGGGCGCGACACATATGATCCCAGCGCTGCTTTTGACAACAGTGATGTTCCCCCGTACCCCTGCAGCACCGTCCCTGCCTTCAGCCATCCCTCCGTTTCCACCAGCAGCACCGGTGCTTTCTCCAGTGCGGGTACGAGCACTGCACGCGCGGCAGCGGCTTCAGACGCTGATTCTGCAAGCCACGTGGGCACACGTGGGAAACACGTGGATGGGTCCCGCTCCCTTGCGTCCTCCCCGCTTGCTGCGGCTGCGGCGGCCGCAATCGCGGAATATCACGCGATTAGGGAGCAGCCCATCTCATCAGCACCTGAAGAAACACCTGAAGAATCACCTGAAGCAGCAGCGGCAAAGCCGCTCGTGCCCGGATGCATGTCGCATGATGGAGCGCCCAGACCGCGTCATCCGCATGCCCACGTGCAAGCGAGTACCAAGAAGTCCCTGGCCAGAACAGTGTCAGACCCAGGCGGCGGCGAGTGCAATTCGAACACAAGACAAGGCGCCGAAGCGGTTGTAGTTGTAGCGGCAGGCGTAGAAACAGCTGTAGTAGGGACGGCTGTAGCAGGGACGGCTGTGAGTGCTACAGCCGTGACAGGAGGCGGCGACGGTGATCGTGGTAAGGTCGATAGGGAGTCGAAGCAGGGCGGCGGTCCTGGTGGCGGTCGGGGACTGCTCAGGTGGCTGTCGTGGGGAAAGGCAAAACTAGGCGCGGGGAAGGGGAATGGTGGAAAGCGGCGGAAGGGGAAGGCGGAAAACGGTTGCGCGGAGCACAGGGGGAGTGGGTTCGGCGCAGAGCTGACGACCAGCGAGCAGTATAAGGAGCGGGGTGAGCCTGTGGAGCGGGGTGAGGAGGTTAGGGAGCATGATTGCGGCGTGAAGACGACCGAAGGTGGTGGTAATAGTGGTGGTAATAGCGGTGGTGATAGTGGTGAGAATAGTGGCGGTAATGGTGGTGGTGCCGCTGTTTCAGCGTCGAATCTTGCGGCCAGAGCAGCTGTGGACACGTGGCTGCGGGAGAACGAGACGCACGGGGATGACGTGGACGAGGATGACGTGGAAGGAATAGACGAGGAGAGTGTGGAGGAGAGCGGTGCTGAAGTGGGAGAGATGATGGGAGGTGGGGAGGAGGAGGAGGGGGAGCAGGCGGATGGGGAAGAGGAGGAGGAGGGGAGGAGGAGGAGGAGGGGGAGGAGGAGGAGGAGGAGGAGGAGGGGGAGGAGGGGGAGGGGGAGGAGGCAGAAGAGGAGCCTGAAGGAGAGGTGGAGGATGGCAGTCATGAAGACTGTTCCTCTGAGGGTGAGGACGGAAAGGAGGATGGGGAGACGGAAGGAGGAGAGCGCGAGGGAGAGGGGGAAGGGGAGGGCGAGGGGGATGAAGGGGAGAGGGGCGAAGTGGAGGAAATGGGCCCAGAAGGTTTTCAGTTCGACGTGTCAACAGACCCGAACGCGGAGGGGAGGGGAAAGAGAGTGGGGAACGACGAGGAGGTGGAGGGAGAGGAGGCGGAGGAGGAGGAAGAGGGGGAGGAGGAGGGGGAGAGGGAGGACTCGGAGGAGGCAGTGAGGGAGAGGCAGCAGCAGGAGTGGCAGCGGCAGTGGCAGCAGCAGCAGCGGCTGATCGGACTAGTAGTCTCCGGGGCAGACAATACCGAAGGTGATAGTAACGAAGGTGGGGGAGGTATTAGAGGTAAGCAGCGAAAGGAGCAAGTAGCGAGCGCCTGTCGACCGTCACCCGCCAACTCTCCCCCCTCCCTCCCGTCTGCGAGCCCTTCCCCGCCCCCATCCGCGGTACAAGAGGATTCGTGTGTGTCGTTTGCGCAATGGGTGCACCTGCGGAGCTCCCCCTCCCGCGCATCCTCCCCCTCCCGCGCCTCCTCCGCCGCGCACAGCCCCGCCCCCGGCCTCCCCTCGCGCGCGTCCGCCGCAGGCGCGCGCGCAGCAGCTGCAGCAGCGCGGGCAAAAGGCGCTAGCGGGGGAATCGCCGGAAACGGGGGGCGGAATCGGGTAGGGGGAGCTACGGGGAGCGATTCTATGGGTGAAGGGGGAAATGGAGGGGGGAGTGTGGGGGGGAATCAGGAAGAGGGGAGTGTGGGGCAAGTGGTGAGAAGGAGAGTGAGAGGAGTGGGTGGTGTAGGGACGGAAGAGGATGAGGTAGTGGAGGAGGAGGAGGGAGAAGAAGAGGCAACCAGCATGCCAGTTGAAACAGCGGTAGATGTGACTTCAGCAACAGCAGCAACAGAAGAAGAAGCAGCAGGAGCAGCAACCGCACCAGCAGCAAGAACAGTATTTACGCAGCCGCCAACAGCAGCAGCAGCAGCAGCAGCAGCAGCAGCAGCAGCAGGAGCAGCAGGAGCAGGGACGACACCAGTAGCAGCAGCAGCAGCAGAAGCAGCAGCAGTAGCATCCGTGCTGCTGGCAGCGCTGAAGCAGACGGCAGCAGAGGAGCAGCAGAAGGGCCTGGGTGTCAGCTCCAGCGTCAGCTTCCTCCCTCTGCGCGCCTCCCCCCGCGCTGCCGCTAGCAACAAGCAAGCTCGGGCGCAGATCCAGGAGGACTCAGAAGGGGACCTGACACGTGGTGGAATGGAAACAAGTCAGCCGGGTAACCAGGCTGCCACAGCTGGTACGAATCCGTTTGCTGGCGGGAGCACTGTAGAGGGACTGTCCGTCCCCTTTACAATCACTAACCCGTTTATATGCAGCGGGAATCTGTTTGAAGCAATGCCAAGCAATGATCGCAATGCTGCAAACGGTGCTGGTTATTTTGGCGAAGTGGGAGTCAAAGCTGCTGGTTACCCTGTTCTGTTACCTGACACCTGCGCCAGTGGCATCCCCACCAATCCATTCCTTGCAGCAGCTGCAGCAGAATCCGAGCAGCAGGGGCAGCTGGGGCAGGCTCTACCTGCGCAGGTTCCTTCTGAGCAGGTTGTATCTGACCAGGTGCATCTGGGGCAGGTGCTACCCTCAGGGCCTGTTTCATCTGGGCAGGTTCTATCTGAGCAGTCTCCGTGCGCTGGCATGAGCGGCAGCAAGACGCTTCCCCCGTCTCTTTGGCCCGCATACCCCATCTCTCCCCCTTCCTCTGCCCCTTCCCCTACTCCTGTACCCAGCCTCGCCCCTGCCGCTGCCCCTTCCGCCTCCCCCGCTCCTCCGCCTGCCCCTGCCCCTGCCCCTGCCCCTCCCCTCTCCCCCGCTCCTCCGCCTGCTCCTGCCCCTCCTCCTGCCCAATCCGCTTCCCCTGCCCAATCCGCTTCCCCTGCCCAATCCGCTTCCCCTGCCCAATCCGCTTCCCCTGCCCAATCCGCTTCCCCTGCCCAATCCGCTTCCCCTGCCCAATCCGCTTCCCCTGCCCAATCCGCTTCCCCTGCCCAATCCGTTCCCCTGCCCAATCCGCTTCCCCTGCCCAATCCGCTTCCCCTGCCCAATCCGCCTCCATCCCATCTTCTATCCAGCCTCGCTCCTGCCTCTGCCCCTCCCCCTACCCCTGCTGCTGCCCCTTCGCCCGACAACAGTGGGGGCCAGCATGGGTCAAGCAGTGCAGAGAAGAAGAGAGTGAGATTCAAAGACAAAGCAGCAGAGGAGGGTGGAACTGAGGTGGGGGGAACTGGTGAAGGGAACTCAAGGAACGAGCAGGATGCAGGAGGTTCAAGCGCTGGTGATAAGTCAACGGCAGGTAGTAGCCAGTTGGGAGGTGGTAACCAGGCGAAACCTGGTAACCAGACAAGTGCAGGTAGCGTGAGGTCAGGCTCTCCTGGGAGGGTGGGAACTGGGCGGGTGGCACCTGCTCCCTCGGGCCTAGCACAGCGCATATGCTGGGTGCCTGGAGCTAAGGAGGAGAGCGAGCAAGGGGTAAAGGAGGCAGAAGGAAGGGACAGGAAGAGCCGAAGTGATGATAGCCGTGGCTGCTGTACCAGCAACAGCAGCAGCAGCAGCAGCAGCAGCAGCAGCAGCAACAGCAGCAGCAGCAGCAGCAGCAGCAGCAGCAGCAGCAGCAGCAGCAGCAGCAGCAGCAGCAGCAGCAGCAGCGGTGTTCCGAAGCTGCTAGTTCCCTGTCCCCCTGTCACCCCTCGAAACAGCTCACCCCCTCCCGTCAGCCGGAGTAAGGCTGCAGGGGGGGCGGCAGGAGGGGCAGCAGCGCGGGTAGCAGCAAAGGCAGCGCTGTCTAGGAAGCCTCTGGTGCTGCTGGGAAGGAGTAGCAGCGCCAGTAGTGCTGTGGGTGGTGGCTCTGGTGCTGCTAGTGGTAGGATTGGTGCTGCTGCTAGCAAGAGTGGTAACAGTAGCCCTACAGTTGAAACGAGTGGTAGGGAGGAAGCAAAAGGAGTTAAGGACACTGGTGCTGGGAGTCATGTGCGCAGCAGCAGCGGCGGCAGAGGTGGTAACCCTGTAACTGGCGTGGATCAGTGGACGACTGGGGAGGCAGATAGCAGTGATGGAGGAACCACCAAGCCCAGTTCTGGCCAGCCAGGGAAGGTCTGCCACCTACCAGGCTCCTACAGGAAGCCTCGCACCCCTCCCAACCCCTCTCAACCCTCTCCCACCCCTTCCCCTTCCGCCACAATTTCCCCCCCTTGCAACCACACCCCCACTCCCAACTCCGCCCCTGCCCCCCCTTCCCGCCCGTGCTCCCCCTCCCCCTCCTCCGCCCTTCTCCAAGCGCTTTCCCCCCATAGGTCCCCGGGTAGGGTGTGGGGGGGCATGGGGAGGAGGGGGTATGAGGTGGGGGGGCTGGAGGTGTGTGGGAGTGATGGGGATGAGGAGGATGGGGGGGGGCAGGCTAGGACAGGTGCGGAGGAGTGGGAGAAGGAAGGGAGTGTGGTGGGAGAGGGGAGTGTCGTAGGGGAGAGTGTGGTAATGAGGGAGGAAGAGATAGTGGTGTGTGGAGGAGAGGGAGAGGGGAAGGTTGGGATCAGGGGTGTGGAGGGAGGTTCAGGGAAGGACGAGGGGGCGATGGTTCTAAGGGGGAACGGGGGAAGAGTGGCAGGAGGCGGAGTGGGTGAGGTGGAGGGGGGAGGAAAGCCCAAGGGTAATTTACCCAGAACGCCTTCCCCCCCTGCAGGCCCGAAGCCAAGCTCTTCCGGGCGAGGAGGTAGAGGAGGGGCTGTGGCCGCCGCAGCAGCAGCATCAGGAGCAGCAGCAGGAGGAATGGCGGGTGGGATTGTGGGGAGAGTGGGCATGGAGACTGGAGAGGAGAGAGGGAGGCGTGGGAAGGAGAACGCAGGGGAAGGGAGGTCAGGAGTGGAGAGGGCTCAAGGGAGCATGCTAGGAGGGGGGAGTCCGGTACGAAAAGGGAGTCCCCCCCGTGTTCCCTCCCCGCCTGCTGGGCCCCGCCCCAACTCCCCCCTGGGACAGCTGAACGCCAGGAGGAAGGCCTCTGGAGTGGCAAGGTCGCTTACAGTCACACTCGATAAGAGCATGTCCCTGCCCTTGCCCAAGGAGGGAACCATTGTCAGCAGCATTAGCAGAAGCATCAACAATACCCGCAGCAGCACCAACATTGCCACCACCCGTTGCAGCAGCATCAAGAGTGAGAGCAACAGCAGCAGCAACGGCAAAAACCCCCTGCCTTCCTCCTCTGAGGCCCACTCTGCCTCTGCTTCTGCAGGGAGACAGCTGGCATCACAATCACCTCGAGAGCCTGCACCACTGAGTAGAAGCGCACTAGGAAGGCCGGCAGCAGCGCCCCCTGCTGCTGGAAGAACGGCCACGTCACCTTGGAAAGCCGCTGAGGCGTCTCAAAAATCTCCTGGTGGCACGAAGTCAGCCACACAACCCCAGAGATCTGCCTTTGGCCGCTCGTCTGCCGGCCCACCTGTGCGGTCTAAGTCTGGTGGTTCCCCCAGCAGGCAGCCTTCGCCCCCTGCTGCAGGCAAAGGCAAGCGGCCGGCGTCGTCTGTCTCCGTCTGCTCTGCTAACTCCATCGGCTCGATTGCTTCTCCTTGCTCTCCCTCCACTGCTGCTGTTGGTGCTGCAGCTGCTGCTTCTAGGAAGGCTGAGAGCGAGGGTGCACTGGCCTTCACCTACAGCATGGTTGATGATGCTCTGGTTACCAGCAGCAGCATCCGCAGTAGCGCAACCACCACCAGCACCGGTGCAAGCAGAACTAAGAGTGCTGGAGCCATTGCGGATGGTATTGGTTGTTCTGGGAGTGGCAATGCTGCGAAGGGGCGTCCTGATCTTCAAGATGAAGGCAAGGGCCATGGCAGTGTGAGCAACAGTGGGGGTGACGAGAATTGTGCCAGTGTGTGACATCAGCGGTCGACATGAAACCTTGTGAGTACCTACACATTTTTTCTGTTTGGTCTTGTGTTTTGAGTTGACTGCCTCTTACGTCCTTTGGAATATTCCATTGCAGAATTTGGACTTCATGCTTGCGTCCCGCCCACTCAGTGGCCCTCGTAGCGCGATTAGGCATACAGGCTAGTATATACGTTGAGTAGATATCATAAGTAGGGAGCTTTTGTTAGCACCTTATTTGTTGGATACACATACACCCCTAACGGGTACTTTTGTCAGAGGCTCGCTTGCCTTTTGTCAGAAGTTCGTTCCCTCAAAACCCTAACCAACTGCTCTAGATTGCTTACGGAACAGCATGAAACATATTTGGCTGTACAGTAGTGCCAAATCAGCAGAGGGAATTTGAGGAGTTATCTCCAGCTGGACTCTTCACAGCACAGTTATACCGTAGTACAAGCTGATGCAGCAGCGAAGCGACGCTCCGCTCGATCTTTTTGGCATGATGGCTAGTTTACAGCACGGTGACTTCATGCCGGAAGAAAGGTATGTGAAAGGCGCTTCGAGGGCGGATAATTTTCTTGAATGCCGAGCTAGCGCGTACGTGGCGGCGCGGGAGGATGAGGAAGGTGTTAGCAGCGGCCTTTCTAGTCTTACTACGACTCGAGTGACGAGTCGCAGGCAGTCTGAGCGTCTCTGCGAATCGTTGGAGTACCAACGTAATTCACGGGGCTGGTAGAGCTTGCGAGGGCCTTCAACTGCTTTTCATGCCACAGAAGTCATGGAAGCACTGTGCTGAGTGTTGTGGTAGAAAGCTGTCCTCCAGGGGGCTCTTGACGCCGGAGTGTTTTCAGACGACCTTTGCCTGAGTAGTTCATTCGCGAAAGATTCCGCCATAAGATGGATTATTTCCCCACTATCTGCGTTCCGGCATTGGTTAGCTTGAGACGGACTACCAGACCAGTCAGTCAGCGCGGGAGCACTCTGTGTTTCGCGAGAAGAACTCGGAGGTCCACGAGAACCCTCTTGAGAAGGCGAAGCAGTGTCGTGTCGCATGGTGGACATTCCTTCAGATCTCGTTGGGAGTGAGCTTCCCCCCGCAGATGCCGGGAGTGAGCTTACGGTGAAGCTCGCCCTGGAACGAGTATCGAGAGTCAGCGATCTTGTCAGGTGTTCAGCTGTTAGCAAAGGATGGGCCGAAGCCGTTGTCAGTGGAATTCTTTGCATGCGGGTTGATCACCAAGTTATCCGCTTCAGCATTCCTGCCGCCTCTGATGAGAATCGCCGCGACGAGCGCGAGACGCTGCCATACGCAAACCTTCTCCAGGCCTTCCGAGTTTTCAGGCAGCTGACGTCACTCACCGTTGACAGCTTCTTCGTGACTCATGGTGACACCTTTCTGGAAGCCCTGGGATCGTCTTGTCCGTTTCTGCTAGCCCTGGACCTGTCCTGTCCTCGCTACGATAACGGTCAGAACAATATTTCCAGTTCCGCTCTCCAGTCGCTTTCCACTGGGTGTCCCCGCCTGGAACGCCTGTCGCTGAACCTCCTGCAATGTTCTGTACGGACGGCAATAACCCCACCTGGATATTATCCTTGTCGGGGCGTGTACAGTGCAGCGGTTCAGCTCTCCGGATTCCGCCATCCATCACGCTGCTATCGAAATTGGAGGTTTTGGAGATAAAAACGGACCGTTGCTTGGTGCTCGGACATCAGTTTGAAGCTGTTGAAGAACCAGGAGAGACTGACCCGGCCATATCCAATCTTCCTCCTCCGCTGCCGGATTGGCGGTCTTCCCTGCCTCCCTCCCTCATCGACCTTCGTTTGTCCTCATCTGATCACATCATCCTTCCCATCTCTTCCCGCCGTTCCAACAATCAGGAGCAGTCTGCTATAAATTCTCATGCCACCAGCAACTCCTTTCCTCAAGCAAGCTCCATGTCTTCCGGCCTGTCTGTGAGCCTCAGGGTATGCTGTGACGTCATGGTCCCAGCGCTGGCATCCCTTTTCGACCTGGAGCTGACGTCATTACGCCTCACGTCCCATGGTGGAATTCAGCAGTGTCCACATACTCGTGGTCATGCCTCACATGGTGGTGCAGCAGCTGATGCGTCTGGCCAGAGCATTTCTTCCAGCAGCAGTGGCGATGAGCAGTTGTTTGATGAGCTGGTTTTTCCTGCTCAGCTGACCGTTGCAGAGTTTCACATTGCCCACGTGCAGCCTGAGACACAGCAGTACTTCTGGCCTATTTTCATGGACCCTTCTCTCACTTTCTTCTTCCCTGCAATGCCTACACCAGCGTACTCTAGACTACTTTCTCTACACCTTGAGAAGTGCAAAAACACCACCCTTCCTCCCTCGCTCGTTTCCTCGCTCACCAGACTGACCGCACTTTCATTTTCCAGCTGCTTCGCTTTGCAAACCCTCGCATCCCTTCACATGGATTGGTGCAGTGCAATAGTCTCTGTTCCCCCTGAAGCCCTTTGTCTGCCTGCGCTCAGGTCTCTGCGCCTAACCAACTGCAGGCGACTGGAGAGTGCAGGGCTTGCTGGTGGCAGCAGCGAAGGTTGCTGCAGTCCACTATCACTACAAGAGGGTGTTTTTTCTGGTTGTGGTGATCTGCGCTATGTCAACTGGAGACTACTGCTGTGGAGAACTCTGCTGCACTCGTCGGAGGTGATGCTTCAGGTGAATCTGAAGGGGTGCCGCTTGAGGGGCATTGAGCATGGTATGCACATGCTGGAGAAGACGAGTGCTACAGTCACTCTGCCTGATGGAGGTACCTGGAATTCTACTGCAGCACGGCCGTCCAAAAGCCAAGATAAGAAGAATGATGAGACTTCTCTCGGCGTTATTAGATGCTTGGTCAAGTGACCATGTTTTCCATACTGCCATGTAAGCGTACAAGATATTAATGTGTGGCGTCTCCATCTCGAAGAACTTGTTCTCTTGTGAGGAGTGGGTTGAAAATCTAGGAGCTATTTGACCACTAATTGCTGTGCTTTGTGAAACTGCGAAATTGTAAGGGCTCTTGATGTGCTAAGCAGCTAACGTGGCATACGCTATATAAAGTCGACTTTGCTAGTGTGCTCTGGTTGCAGTCAGAGAACCCTCGCTCCCTCGCACATCGCACCGCGCGCGAATCTCGGGAGGTTCGCGTGGCCGAGCCAAGCATTCGAATTCTCGAAGGTAGTTTGCTTCATCGCTGCCGTGCATGCTTACCGAATCGACGGCCTCCGATTGCGCTAGACCCTTGCAGCATGATGTCACCCCTGAATCTGTCAGAAATCAGCAACACACATCGGGAATGGGAATTCTCCTCGCACTCATCTAAAGAGATCCTCGTTATAACCAAACCTGTTGCTGCACCTATTCTGAAGGCTTCCTGCTGCACCCCAAAACTGCAAGACTGAAATCCGATGAGTCATCATTTATCTCTTCGAGGCTGTGAGCCTCTTACACTGTGACCTCGAGAGCATGGCGGTGCCGGGCGTTCCGTCGTTCCGCATAGCGGCGCGGGGTTTCTTCGTCGTTCTTTCCGGTTTGACGGAAAGACGACAGAAACTCGAGCTCATCTGCGGAAGCGATAGCGCTGGCTATAATACCATATCCTCAGTAGTCTCTACTTTCTTGGATGTTGGCTGGTTGCTCTATCTACTGTTTCTGGAAGATAAGCTTTCGGAAGAAGTTCCGTGTCGCGGAGAGAAGTGCTGTTGAGCATGTCGGACGTCCCTCCAGATGCCGGGAATGAGCTCGCACTAGAGCTCGCTCTCGAACGGATCTCGAGAGTACGCGATCTCGTCAGGTGCTCGACGGTGAGCAAATCGTGGGCTGACGCCGTCGCGCGGACTGTTCTACGCATTAATGTGGATTGTACCAGCGGAGGCATTTTCGGTCCTGCCTGCATTCCCGACGAAAGTGATAATGACGGGGAGTGCAGTGACGAGTACAAGGGCGATGGGCTCACGTACGGGAGCTTTCTTAAGGCCGTTCGCGTGTTCCCCCAGCTGACGTCACTCACGGTCACCAGCATCCAGCAAGCATTCGGCGACGCGTTTCTGAAAACCCTAGCCTCCTCCTGCGCTGTTCTCGAAATCCTGGACCTCTCCTGCATGTGCTATGGCGAAGGCGACGACGAGATTACCAGGTCCGGGCTGAATTCGCTGTTCGCCGGGTGCCCCCAGCTGAAACGGCTGTCGTTTCATCTCGGCCACGTCAGCGCCAAGCGGAAGATCTCGAACGTACTGACAACCACTTGCAGCGCTTCGAGCCATCCTCGTCATCATCACGATGACGTGGCGTGGAGCGAGTCCGCGCTCTTGATTCCGTCCTCTATCACGCTGCTGCCTGCTCTGGAGGTTTTGGAGATCACAACTGACCGCTGCTTGGTCCTTGGACGGATTTATGACCCCCCCAACCGGAAATACGGCCAGTCAGATTCGGCCAGGATGATTGATCATCTCACGGTTGACTCTCCTACAGATTCTTCGCCAAGCTTGCAACGCTTCCTCCCTCCCTCCCTCATCCAGCTTCAATTGTTGTCGTCTCACCACATCGTCCTTCCTGGCATCTCCACCCATCATTCAAGTAAACGTTCTGACAATCCAAACCAGCCTAGTACTACTGCTCTCCATTCAATGTCACCCTCTCTTCCCCAACATAACCCACCGTCTCTGTGGGCTGGACTCAAATCTGTGAGACTCGGCGTTTGTTGTGACGGTTTGGTTCCAGCGCTTGCTCCGCTCTTCAGACAGGAGCTGACGTCACTGAGCCTTTCAGCCAACCATGCGACCAGATGTAACATTCGGAGCCACGCTGGTGGTTACCCTACTCCTATTGCTGCTGCAGCTGATGCGTCTGGTGGAATTCAAGCTTCAAGCAGCAAGTTTGGTTTTCTTAAGGAGCAGTCTTGCAGCAGAGTGGTGCTTCCGACCAAACAGAGCATTTCAGGATTCCGCATCATTCAAGCGGAGACAGAAATAGACTCCCTCATTTCCATGCATCCTTCTCCCACATTCTCTTTCACTGCACTCTCTTCCTCATTCTCTTCCGCTTATTCCCGTCTCCTCTCACTTCACCTGGATCAGTGCCCCGACCCCGCTCTCCCTCCCTCTTTCCTCCCCTCTCTCACTCGCCTGACTGCCCTTTCCTTCTCCCACTGCCGCCATTTGAAAGCCCTGCCGCCTACCATCAACCTCCTCTCCGCCCTCACATCCCTTCACATGCACTCCTGCCATGCTGTGGACTCCCTCCCCCCTGAAGCCCTCTGTCTGCCGGCACTCAGGTCC